ATTAATAAACCTGTTGTTATTGGTAATGGTAGTAAGTCATACATTAATAAACCTGTTGTTATTAGTAATGGTAGTAAGTCATACATTAATAAACCTGTTGTTCTTGGTAATAGTAAGTTATAACTTGCTCGCTGTAAAGCGGTGAGGTGTTGGCTGTGGTCCTGGTGGGTCTGCGTTCCCTCTGGTCCAGCCTGCTGGTGACAACAGAACAACAAGTCTAAATTTAGTCCTGATCTCTGCCCACCTCCATTGTCCCGTTGATTAAATAACAGCAGCTCAGGAACAAGTTTCTGGTTCTGTCCAGGCTGTTTGACCCGCTTATTGTTGGACTCTATGAGACAATGTTTGTCGACATGAGGTTGTTCTGTTTTTTAGAAGGGAGCCTGTTTTCTGCAGAATGTTCTGGTCCAGTTAAAACTAAAGTTAATGTTGAAAAAATAACGTTGGATTTTGTAATCGCTGCATTGAATCAACATTAGAATCAACAACTTTTTTATTTGGAGTTCATTTGTTTGCAAATAAACAGCAGAACAAACTTAAACAGGAAGACTCTTGAACGTTGCTCTCTGGAGACGTTCTCCGCTCGGTTCGTAAAACTTCTTCTCATCTTTCTCTTTATTTAAACTGGAATCCGTCTCTTGGAGGGTTTTTCCATCAACGTGGTTTTAGGGCTGGACCAGAACCGGTCCAGGAGCTGGTTCTGAACAGACCGTGTCAAAAAACGAATAAATAAAATCTGCTGACCTCTGGTCTGTGTGTCCTCTGTCAGGAGCCGACAGAGTCTTGTTGTTGTCAGTAAAATATCTGTTCCACGGTCTCTGATTCTTGCTGTTGTTTTTCTTTTGGCTGTTCCTGCAGTGTACAAACTCACATGAAAGATCCGGACGTTATTTTACGTTCTTCACGACCCAACCTGGGCTCGAACCTGCCGCCTCGGGATTACATTAACGCTGGAAGCTATTCTTTAATGTTTTGGCTGCTTGATCCACAGATTAAAAACCAAAATATTGATTAAGGAAAACATTTTTACACTCGTTCTGTTTCCTCGTTACATTTTCTCCTAGTTTTCGTTGAGACGTCCATTTTTGTCTCTTCTTCCTTGAAGTTCAGCTTTTCTTTAGCAGCAGCCTCAACAAGTCAACACATTTTCAACCAGCTGAAGGAAACAAGACAGATGTGTATTTCTGAGGATGTGGCGTTTCAAAAGTTCACGTCACAGCTGGATGAAACAGCAGCCGGTGATAAACGTGTCATTTTTCACACAGCTGCTCGTGAACAGAGTCATCAGACACAAGACCTGCTCCACAGTAAATGTTTGACCTTTAAAATGAAGCTGCGCCTCCTTCGGTGTTTCTCCGAAGCTTTTCAGAGCAATTCTGTGTGTTTTACGTTCCTGATCATGTCGTCGGCGTCTTGTCCCCTCAGGTGTGGTGCTGGTGTGCTTTGAAGGCGACTCTGACGGCTACATCAACCTGGTGGCGTACCCCTACGTGGACAACATGGAGGTGGGGATGGGGGAGCACGAGGAGCGGGACCCCCAAGAGCGGGAGCAGCCCAGAAGGAAACACTCCCGCCGCAGCCTCCATCGCTCCTCCTCCTCCTCCGAGCACAAGGAGGAGCGGGCGGACCGAAGGGAGACGCACGACACCGAAACCCCAGACAAGTAGGACTGTTTTTCAAAAGTGACGATGATGATGATGATGATGATGTGATTTTAGTTTTAAAATATGTATTTGTGTTGCTGCTAAATCCTGAAAAATGAATATTTATGAAAAACTAATCATTAAATTGAAATTATGTCTCCAAGGTTTGCGTGTATCAAAAATGTTTGGTTCAGAATAAATCGTAGAAAACAGTTTAGGCTGTTTGTGGTGAATAAAAAATAACAGTTTAAACATTTAAGTCCAAACGAAACGCTGCGTTCACGATCGTCCTCTTGTCCCTGCAGTCTCACAGAGCTGAAGAGTCCGAGGCTGGACCCAAAGATCCTCTCGGATGTTCCCTTTCAGATGCTGGACTGGAACAGTGGTCTGACCTTGGAGAAGATCAGCCACAACCCCTGGAGCCTCCGCTGCCACAAGCAGCAGCTCAGCCGCATGAGGTCCGAGTCCAAGGACCGCCGACTCTTCAGTATCCTTCCATCGACCAATCACGTCCTCCCATACTCGACTCTGTTCATTTCACCAAATCCTGGTCTGCTCACCAACCTGTGTTTGTTCCCATCTTTCTTTCTGCTGCAGATTCATTAGTAAAGTGTTAGACCATAATATCCACTTGGTTAAAGATATTTAGTAATAAACGGTTCTGTCAGAAGAGTTACTGTTAGAGGAACTTTCAAGCTGCTCGCAATTTGAAAAATCCTTTAAACAAAATTATGACCAACGAGTTTCTCAGACCTAAAAGAAGTGACGTATTTTACACTTCGCTGCCGAATAAAACGAGTTTGCACAAGATTTTAGGAACAACAAACAACAAAATGGGTCGAAGCGACATGAGAAGATCCTGCGGATGAAGATGTCCACTTGATGTCTAAGAGCTTTACGAGCTGCTGCGATCGTGTTCGACACAGAAGGATCATGCGTTTGTGTCTCACCGGGCCGGAGACGTTTGGCAACTCCAAATTCTGAGATTTGCCAGAAAAGAATCAGATTTTCAGTCTCGCTGAATTCTGTTTGAGACCAGACACTTGTCTTCTGCATGAATCATCGCAGACTATTTTTGCGTGCACAGCTCGTAAAACTATTCTTGGCCACCTCCACCCACGCTGTCACCGCCTCAGCGCACCTTGGCAGCCGCCCCCACCTTCACGCACTAAATGGAGATGGCTACGTTTTTCAATGATTATTCATTGAGAACATTTTGAGACACTCTGGAGACTTCGTTGTGAACGCTGGTTGCTGCCAGATACTATCGGCAGTAACGAGCAGCAGTTTACCTCGTCCTCCAGGTGGAAGCGTGCGCGCAACGTGCACACGGTGAGGCTCGTGGGTCGCCTTTGTTTTTGACTTGACAGAAGCTGAAATGCCTCCAAAGACCAGTTTCAAGCGTCTGAGCACTGAGGAGTTGAGATCAGCTGAAGACTCTTCATGTCTGCATCACAAGGATCCTGAGCCTCCTGGTGGCCAAAGTGGCTGAGATGATGCGTGACTAAAGGAGATTTATACCATACGGTTCAGTAAACACGAGCGCGGTGAAGAGGAGGCTCCGCGCCGTTTGAGGTCGTCGTGTTAAAGTTCACCTTTTGATGTGCAGCTTCAAACGGAGCGGCTGAGCAGAACCCGCTCCGCTCCGTCACTCACGTTCTGCTCCACCTGCTCCTCCCTGGTGGTCTGCTGCAGGAGCCCGTCTCGTGTCGGCTGATTCGTTTTAATGTGATAAACAGGTTGGTTAACAGAGTCCTGCAGAAAAAACAAGACAAAGCCAGTTTTACACGGAGAGGAGGGAAACTAAATAAAAATACTAGTCTCTCGTTACTTCGCGGTTCGTTTATCGCGGACTCGTTCTATCGCGGTTTTTCAAAATAAGATTGGACATGACACACAACTGGCTGATTGATGGAGGAGCTGCACAATCGGCATGAAATTTTTATTTAAAATAAATTATTTTAAATTATTTTGCACCTCTGTGCAGCCCATTCTGCAGGATAAACTTCCTGCTGCAGCTGATCAGCTGATCCGCTGAAGTGGGCGTGGCCAAGAACGTTTGACCAAAAGATAAATAAGGAGAAAAAGAAGTGGGCGTGGCAAAGAGTATATATATATATATATATATATATATATATATATATATATATACTAAAATAAACTACTACTTACTACTTGTACTGTTAGTCCTACTTTGTGGTTTTTCACCTATCGCAGGTCTTCAGGGTATGGATCCACCGTGATAAGGGACTACTGTACAGGGAATTGAACTTGGGACTTACTTATTTGCTGGTTTAACACTAAAGTAAATCTTGTTTGTTTTTATTCACCTGAAAGATTTTCAAAATAAACATTTTTTTCTGTCCTCAAAATTTTAGACTTTTAACCACAAAGTGCAAAATTTGTCACAGTCCAGAAGGTTTCATGTTTTTAAATATTTCCATTTCTTTAGTTTTCCTGCAGTGGTCGTTGGCTCCGGACATTCTCTCCTCTGTGAATAACAGAACTGCAGAAATTGTTGCCGTGCATCTGTTTTGAAGAAGTTCGTACATGAGTAACGAAGCGTTTTCTCTGGATGCTCTCCAAAATGCTGCAGCCCGATTTTTAACTGGTACAGGCTATAGAGAGCACATCACGCCAGTTTTGGCCTCCCTGCACTGGCTACCCATTCACCTTCGGATCCATTTCAAAATTCTCATGTATGTTTTTAAATCACTGAACAGTTCCACCCCATCCTATCTCACTGATCTTCTGCAGCCATATGTCCCACCGCGCTCTCTGAGGTCAGCAGACCAGATGCTTCTCTCAGTCCCAGAAACCCGTCGTAAGCTCAGAGGTGACAGGGCTTTCTCTGTTGCAGGTCCACGACTGTGGCATGAGTTGCCACTGAGTGTCCGGCAGGCTCCCACACTCTCAGTCTTTAAGTCTCGCTTGAAGACCCACTTCTATTCGCTTGCCTTTAACACGGTGTGATTTGTTTTGGTCCGGTCTGTTCTCTACTCTGTTGGCCATTTTAGTTAGCTTCTGCTGCTATTTGTATCTGTATTTCTATTTTATGTTTTCCTGTCCGCTGTGCATGTTTGTGTTCTTTTGTACAGCACTTTGGTTGGCCTTGTTGCTGTTTTAAGTGCTATATAAATAAATTGGTATGGTATGGTATGGTATGAATTGTCCTTAACGGCTGCTTCAACCAGAGTTCCTGCTGCTGGAGAACGTTGTTCACCACTTCTCCTACCCCTGCATCCTGGACCTGAAGATGGGCACCAGGCAGCACGGAGACGACGCCTCGGAGGAGAAGGCGGCCAGGCAGATGAAGAAATGTGAACAGAGCACGTCGGCGACGCTGGGAGTCCGAGTGTGTGGCATGCAGGTAGAATAATAACGAAGCGGCTCCGTCTCACATCAGACGATGCCACGCTTCGCTGTACGGGGCTGAAGCAGGTTTCTGTTCAGCTGGAGCAACAAATCTATTTACTTTGTAAAGATTTGTCTGAAGATCAGCTGCATCATATTACTGTAGTGCTACAATGTGTCTGCAGTATTTCCTGTTACTGGGAGCACCAGCGCTAAAGCATTTGAACACCTCGCTACTCTGGAAACGTGCACCTCCGACATTAACTAAAAGCTGTGAGGAGAGAACGTGTTTGGAGCGCTGCAGCTCCGTCGTGTGTCGTGGTGGAATAAACATTTAAAGGTGAAACGGGTCTCAGGAAAGTGGATTTTACTTTTCTGAACAGGCATTTTGATTTTCGCTCCTGGTTTCTACACAAGCGCACCTCTGTAGCATAACTTCTATAATGTAGATATTTAAATGTAGATATTTTTGTCCTTCTACGCTGCGTGTCACTCAAGTTTCTCTCAGATACGTCCAGAAGGCAGAGCTGAACTTCAACAGATTATTTTTAACTCAAACTCTTCAGAACTCGTCGTATCTCCTTCTTTAAACACGTGAATGTTTACACGCGACCGTCCGAGTCGTCCTCCTTCAGAAAGATTGCTATTAAGAGCAGACGTGGTGTTTTTGCACACGGACTGTTTGAGGCTCGTTTTTCAGTCTGTTTAACAGTCTGTACAGCAGATTATAATCCCAGTGAAGATGATGAAAGATGTTTTTTTTTGTTGAGGTTGTGTCCACCTGTTCTCTGCAGGTGTACCAGCTCAGCACTGGGCACTACCTCTGCAGGAACAAGTACTACGGCCGCGGCCTGTCCATCGAGGGCTTCCGGCAGGCGCTCTACCAGTACCTGCACAACGGGAAGGGTCTGAGGCGGGACCTCTTCGAGCTGATCCTGAACAAGCTCCGCAGCCTCCTGGCCGTGCTGGAGAGACATGCGTCTTACCGCTTCTACTCTTCCTCCCTGCTCATCATCTACGAGGGAAAGGTGAGCCGAACCTCGACGTTAGCTGCAGATTAGCTGCAGATTAGCTGCACCTCTGTTGGCGATGAAGAATGAAGACAGAAAATATTCTGCTGTTCCTTACAAACATTAAAAACTGCAGTCGTTTGGATCGAACTGTTTTGTCTCACTTAGCATCAAATCCTGATTATTTTATTTTGATCAGCTTCAGGAAGTCAAACAAACCGTTCCTCGCGGTCGTCGGCAATCGCATTAGTCATCACCTTTCTGTCCGCAGTTTGAACAAAATGCCAGAACCACGTTTCTCTAGTTCTATTTTTGGTCCGTGGCTCCGGAGGGAATTTGTTTTTCGAGCACAAAAGGACGCAGAGAAACGGTCGAGCTGCAAACAGGAACCAGAACTCGGCTGCAGTTTGTGCTGCTGTGAACACAGATGTTCTGGTTCTGAAGTTTTCTTCGGCTTGTTTGATTCTTTAAAGCGCCGTGTTTAAATAAATTAAATAAAAGATTTTGGCTAAGGTGCCTTCAGGTGCCACACAACAAAGTTCATCTCTTACTGAGGCTTTTGTTGCTCTGAAGAGAGAGCTGCGTTTAAAATGACGATTCTGAACCTGATTGTTCACCACGAGCCGATTAACAGCTAAAACTGACAGACTGGACCTAACCCGAGAGTTTGTAAAATATTTTATGAGTTAATATTTTCACATGTTGGTTTAACTGTAACTATAAAAAAAAAAAAGTTTGCTGTTTTTGCTACTGTTTTACTTCTTTAGTTTTTAACTCATGTTTATAACTTTTTAGCTTTTTGCTAGTTCTAATTTTACTTCTTTTAGCTTTTAGCTATTGTTTAGTCCCTTAAGTTTTTAGCTAGTTTTACTTCTTATGGCTAGTTTTACATCTTTTAATTTTTAGCTGTTGTTTATTAATTTTAGTTTTTAGCTCCTGGTAATTCCTTGTAGGTTTTTGCTAGTTGTTTGCCTCTTTTAGCTTTAAGAACCCAGATTCAGCTTTTTCAGCATATTTCGGCTGTCATTCAGCGTTGACACTTCATTTTTGCAGAAAAGACTCGTTTCTCTGGTGCTCTGAGAGTTAAAGTCTGACAGGCTGTTTGTTTCTTGATTGTTTCCTGTTTGTTTCCAGATTATTTCCTGTTTGTTTCTCGATTGTTTCCTGTTTGTTTCTCAATTGTTTCCTGTTTGTTTCCAGATTGTTTCCTGTTTGTTTCTCAATTGTTTCCTGTTTGTTTCCAGATTGTTTCCCAATTGTTTCCCGTTTGTTTCTCGATTGTTTCCTGTTTGTTTCCCGTTTGTTTCCTGTTTGTTTCCTGTTTGTTTCCAGATTGTTTCCTGTTTGTTTCCTGATTGTTTCCCGTTTGTTTCCCGATTGTTTCCTGTTTGTTTCCTGATTGTTTCTTGTTTGTTTCCTGATTGTTTCCTTTTTGTTTCTCGATTGTTTCTCGA